TTTCTGGTTGCACGTGAGGAGAATAATGTCCACTGTGCTGGTGTTGAGTGGTGTTCTGTAGATGTCTGTTACGTCTGTTTGGTTGATGGCGGGGGGTCTTCTGTTTCCTTGCTGATCCTCCGTCTAGTTGTCCTCTCCATTGTAGAAAGTAGGGTGTTGAAATCTCCAAGCGCCTCTCTCCACCTTCACTTCTGTCAATTTTTGCTTCAAGTATTTTGGGACTCTGTTATTGGGCACATGTATGTTTATAATTGTTCTACCTTTGTGATAGATCGAGTCTGTTATCGTTGTATAACGTCCTTAATTGTCTCTTGGAACAGTATTTGCCTTAAGTCTGTTTTGTCTATTGCTAGAGTTGCCTCAGCTCTTCCGGTCACCGTTTGCATGGAACGTCTCCTGTTGGGTTACCATATTATGCGTAAAAAAAAAAAAAAAAAAAAAGGATGTACCAAGTGACTTTGATGTGTTTCAGTGGAATTTCAACATCTAAACAAAAGATTTTTACAAATACACAAACTCTGTATCTTCTTCCTGCAGAAGCAAAACGACCCTTCTGCTGTGATAGCTGCGTGTTCACCTCTTCTAGAATTTCGAGTTTTAACCGTCATATGAAAACTCACAGCACCGAAAAGCCCCACATGTGCCACCTGTGTCTGAAAGCTTTCCGCACGGTCACTCTTCTGCGGAATCATATCAACACTCACACAGGTAAACCAGGGGAGAAGAATTATTTCCCATGAAGGATGCGTGTTAAGGTTTACGTACGAATGTGAATCCACCTGTCTGCACTTGAGAGTAACGTGTCTGTTTCGACCCCTTTGGTTTTGTCTTCTTCGATTGTGCTTAAAAACATCGAATGTTACAAAGATTTTCTTCTCACACGTGTCTGGGGGTAGTTAGGGTTTACAGGAGCTCTTCTTCATTGTTAGAGCGTTTTGAAACGGAGTCTAATTGATAAGTTGTAAATCCCTAGGGATATTTGTGGTGAAGTCTTATCTGAAAAGGCTGAACTATGTGATTTTACAGGAACCAGGCCCTACAAGTGTGGTGACTGCGTCATGGCATTTGTCACCAGTGGAGAACTTGTCCGACACAGACGTTATAAACACACTCACGAGAAACCCTTTAAATGTTCCATCTGCAAGTATGCCAGTGTGGAAGTAAGTCCGTCCTTGTCCTTAGAGCTTTGTGGCATTCTTTCTCACTTGACACGGGGCGCCTGAGTGGCTCAGTTGGTTAAGTGTCCGACTTCAGCTCAGCTCATGATCTCATGGTTTGTGAGTTCAAGCCCCACGTCGGGCTCTCTGCTGACAGAGTTTGGGGCCTGCTTCAAATCCTCTGTCTCCCTTTCTCTCTCTGCCCCTCCCCTGCTCACACTCTGTCTCTCTCTCAAAAATAAACATTAGACAAGAAATTTAAAAACTTGACGCAAAAGTTAAGTCACACTAACAGAATCTCTTACAAAATAGGCTTCGCTAAAGATATTATTGGTAGGAAATCTATGTGGAAAATGATACTCGTTTTTATTTTATACGTTTAAAATAGAAAATTGGATTTTTTTTTTTTTTTTGATTACCAACTCGTGAAAGCAACATGAAAGGTGTACGAATTACAAGTACAATCACTTCTACTTGGGAAATAATTCTCAAGTGTGTTAAGTTCTGTCCGGTGGTCTGTGGAGTGTAGTCAGTTCTACAAAATCAAAATGTATTTGCTCTGACATAGAACAGATTCAGTGTGGGTTTTTGCTGCAACTTTGGACCTTACCTCCGGGGCCCCTGGTCAGATATAAAGCGACTTGTGTGAGCATTCAGACACGGCCCGTTTCCTGTCTTAATTACAGACAGACCACCTTTCTCAGATTTCCAATTATGTGTCGTGCTCCTTTGAATTCTCTCGTACTTATACTTTCCGGCAGGCCTAGCCGCACCCTAAATGCAATGACAGAAGAATGTGACACTTCCTTTCCAACGTCAGGTCTCTGCGGTCACCCTTTAAGGACTCGGCCCTCTGTCCTGAGTCTGAGCCCAGTTGGGAAGGGATCACGCGCGCGAAAGGAACGGAGTTAAAGGGGAGGCCTCAAGTTTAAATACAGTCATGGTGCAACCGTGTTTCATCAACTAGGAAAGTTCGCGCACGGGGTCAGGATTTGGTTCCAGGAATTCTTTTCCCCCCACTGTTACTATTTTTAAAAATGAGGGGGCGCCTGGGTGGCGCAGTCGGTTAAGCGTCCGACTTCAGCCAGGTCACGATCTCGCGGTCCAGGAGTTCGAGCCCCGCGTCGGGCTCTGGGCTGACGGCTCGGAGCCTGGAGCCTGTTTCCGATTCTGTGTCTCCCTCTCTCTCTGCCCCTCCCCCGTTCATGCTCTGTCTCTCTCTGTCCCCCCAAAAAAAAATAAATAAACGTTGAAAAAAAAAAATTAAAAAAAAAAAATGATTTGCCATCGGAGTTAAAGGTGGTGGCTGCGTGTGGAAACCCCGAGAGGAGGTTTCAGAACTCAAAGCCTCCTGAGGACCCGAGGCCCGGAGTGGCCCCGTCGTTGGTGTCCTCCTGGCTCTCCGAGCAAGCTTGTGTGTTGGCAGAGGCCCTTCTCGGGGATGGGCAGTCCGCGTGCAGCTCGAGGGCTGGTCGGCCTCGACAGAGGGAACCCAGCCGCTGCCATCACCCCTTTTGTACGGTTTCCAAGCTTTTCCCTGCTGCTCGGTTCTGAGCGGGGAGCCGCCTAGGCCCCCCCTCACCATCCCTTGACGCTTGGGCCACCAGGAAGGTACCGGAGCCGTAGGCAGATCACAGCGCTCCTGACACCTTGTCAACGCGCCTTGTCCCCTCCTCCCTTTGCAGCCACGGGGACATCTGTCACAGCGCCTTCACTCCCTCTCACCGCTCCCCAAACTTTTTGTGCTGTTGTTGCTAAAACATCTCGCTTTGCCTTCTAATATACCCAAAGACGTCCACTTTTCTTCTAAAAATCCAAGCTGCATTTTTCGGTTTGGGCCTTGTTTTCCGTCCTAAGTCTTCTGTTGCTCTTGAATGTTCTCCAGGCTTCTGTATGCTTATCCCATACTGGGGAGCCAGACCCGAGCGCAGCCTTCCTGGGATGGTGCTCAGGGCTGACGCGGGCTTTCTGACCTCTATCGCCCGAGTGTGGCTGATGGGGCCGTGTCCGCTAAAGGCAGATATGGGCCTGCCGCCAGCACACGCAGAAAAAGAGCAGTTCTAGAAGGTGCTCAGTCAGGCCAAAAATGATCAGATGGAAGGGAGTGTGTGGTTTGCCTTTTAACTAATTGCCTGGGATATGTAGTTAATCAAATTAGAATTTGTTTCCTTTTACTTCCAAGTTTCATCTTATAAACAAATCACTAACACACAGAACCTGCCCTTGATAGAAAGTCCACGTGCCATGGGGGTCCACAGAACTGTGAACTTGAAGGGCCCGTAGGGAAACGTCCCATCAAAGACCTGATGCCTCAAGCTTCCTGCTTTACTTACGCAGACAGATGTTTTCTGCCCTCTGTGCACCGCAGCCTGATCTAAACTTTACAGCTATCGGATGCATGTTGCCTTGGAAATGCAAATAAAATCATGTATGGCTCTGAGCCGCTAGAGTTCAGTTTGTAAACTGAACTTTACAAAAGTGAAGTTGAACCTGAGAGTCTCTCGAAATGACTGCTCGTTATCCACAAAGGATCACACACACACACACACACAGACACACACACACACACAATCAAATGAGAAACTTCGTCCACGACAGAAAATAAAAATAACGACCGGTTCATGTTTTTCAGTGTGTGAAATACACTCTGAGGTTAAACTCGGGCCGATTTCTGCATCTTTTATAACTCTGATTAGTTGAAGACTCTACCACTTTTTATTATTTTATTTTTGTTCCTTTTAATGTTTATTGTTGAGAGAGAGAGAGAGAGAGAGAGAGAGAGAGAGACAGAGTGCGAGCAGGGGAGGGGCAGAGAGAGGGAGACACAGAACCCGAAGCGGGCTCCAGGCTCCGAGCCATCCGCACAGAGCCCGACGCGGGGCTCGAACCCACGAACCCACGAGCTCGCGGGCTGAGCCGCAGTCGAACGCTTTGCCGACTGAGCCACCGCCCTGAGGTTTCGGGGGCACCAGCGGCCTTTCCTCTGTTCACCAGGCGAGCAAGCTAAAGCGACACACCCGCTCACACACGGGGGAGCGTCCTTTCCAGTGCAGCCTGTGCAGCTACGCCAGCAAAGACACCTACAAGCTGAAGCGACACATGAGGACACACTCAGGTGAGGACGGGCCCTGCGGGCAGCCCAGGAGGCTCGGCCAATGCCCTGTCTCCCCGCCACCCAGTTAGAGCTCGGGCGGCAGAGTGAATTTCTTTGTGCTTTTCCGACACGGAGATCCGGATCCGCACTTCTGTGCCTGTTTGGCGCGGAGGGAGGCCACGTGAGTACCGTGCTGGGACCCCGCGGGGCTAAGTAGGACACCGTCCAGTGCCTGCTGGCGAGGTTTGTCGGGGAGCTCAAAGTCACATGCTTAACCGACCCTTCAGGGTTTTTTTTTGAAGTTTATTATTTTATTTTGAGAGAGAGATGGAGAGTGAGAGAGTAAGCAGGGGAGGGGCAGAGAGAGGGAGACACAGAATCCACAGCAGGTTCCAGGCTCTGAGCTGTCAGCCCAGAGCCCAACGCAGGGCTCGAACGCGCGGACCGCGGTATCGTGACCTGAGCCGAAGTCGGACGCTTAACCGTCTGAGCCACCCGAGGCGCCCCGGGGACCCTTCAGTTTTAAGGCAAAACGTAAAGTGTGCTGGTTTCGTGCTTCGTAATGCCCTTCACCTGTTGGCCCGTCCCTCGGCTGCCCCCCCCCCCGCCCCATCCTGTGGAAACTACCAGTTCTCTGTATTTATGAGTCTGTTTCTGTCTGTTTTGTTCCAAAGATCCCGCATATAAGTGACAACATAGGTATTTGTCTTTCTCTATCTGCCTCTTTCACGGAGGCTGACGCCCCCTAAGTCCGTCCATGTTGTTGGAAATGGCAAGATTTCATTCTTGTTTTGTGGCTGAACGATATTCCGTTGTGTATTTACCACATCTTCTGTAGCCATCCATCTGTCGGACCCTGGGGCTGCTTCCGTATCTCGGTGTTTGTAAATAATGCTGCAGTAAACGTACGGGGGCACATGTCTTTGCAAATTACTGTTTTCGTTTCTTCGCATAAATCCCCAGAAGTGGCATTCGTGGATCGTGTGGTATTTCTAGTACTCGCTTTGTGGGGTTTTTTGTTTGCTTGTTTGTTTGTCTTTTTGGTACGAAGAATACGTTTCCGTGGACATCTCGGGTCTTGATGCCACGGCAGGAACCAGATAGCTAAGTGACGAGTCAGCCGCCAGATGTTAGGAGAGCCGCCCGTCTGGGCCACTGTCCACACAGTCCTACTCGACCCAACGCTGTCTGTCTGGGCTTGATTTAGGAACCTGGCACAAACTGTGGGGCTAAACGGTTGAGGGAAGGGTGGAGAAAGGAGCCCTGGGGACAGCAGAAAAGCTTTCGGCTCCCAAGACCTTGGGGGAGGTTCAGGGCTTGCTGGGCGGAGCCGCCGTGCAGAGGGTCACTTTTGTCATCCGTGTCCCAGGTGAGAAGCCCTACGAATGCCACGTGTGCCACACACGCTTCACGCAGAGCGGCACCATGAAAATACACGTTCTGCAGAAGCACAGCAAGAATGTCCCCAAGTACCAGTGTCCGCACTGTGCCACCATCATCGCAAGGAAGAGTGACCTGCGTGAGTGTCTGGCTTAATGAGCTTCCTTTAACTACGGTATTTGCGGGCTCCTCGGAGGCGCATCCTGGACCCTGGAGCCCTGGGCCTGGTTACAGGGAGGCAGCTGGGCTGCAGGACCTACTCCGGAAGAGGGAGTTTTTTTCCCCCAGCGGTCCTGTGGCGCCATCTAGTGGCGAGACTGAAGAGGTGCGGTTTCATGGCTGGGCTCGGAGCGCTGGCCCAGGGCCCGTTCCGTTGCAGGTACACCTGATGACAGTCACAGGTATTTCAGCTCCTACAGCATTTTCACAGGTCTTGTTTCATCCCACCCTAGGCCTGCTTCTACAGATGAAGCAGATGATGAAGGAGCTTAGAGACATAGAGTGATCTGTCCCCAAGTCCCCCGAGTCCGGAGGTGCAGGGAGCCCGTAGGTGGCCTCGTTATAGGTTCTGACTCTGTTAATGTCCCCACCAGTGACGCTCCGCAGACTTTTCTTAAGATCTTGCTGTAATCCTCAAAAGTTCTGGCGGCCAAAGTGGCAAAAGTGAGGACCAAAACCAGTCCTCCCCTTAAGGAACTCCCTTCAGCAAAGGAGGCCAGCCAGGGCCTGAAATCCTTTACTGTGACATGGTTACGTCCCCTTCGTGGCACAAAACACCACAGAGCAAGAACAGAACCCGCCGTGAGCGACTCCGAATGCCAGGGTTAGGACTCGGGGTTTTACCCTGCCCGCAGGGGAAACCAGGCATATTGAGCAGTGGGGTCGTGGTGGGCACAGCCGTCAGCGAATGAGCATCCCTGCTTTGTCTCGGGGTCCCTGGGCTTCCCGTGTTCCGTGAACTTCCTTCTCTTTCCAAAGTATGTAACGTTGTGATGCTCAAAACACGTTAGCAGATGTACAAGTCGCTGGTTTGCCCGGAGAAAACCCTGGAGACGAGGTGCACTGTTTGGAAAACATTTCTGAAAGGGTGAGGGTGTTTAATGAAGCTTTAAAATTTTTTTTTGAAGTTTTTTTTACATTTTATTAATTTTTGAGATAGAGAAAGCATGGGGGGGGGGGGGACAGAGAGAGGGAGAGAGACAGAATCCGAAGCAGGCTCCAGGCTCTGAGCTAGCTGTCAGCACAGAGCGGACTCGGCGCTCGAACCCACGAACCGCAAGATCATGACCTGAGCTGAAGTCGGACGCTCAACCGACTGAGCCACCCAGGTGCCCCAAGAAGCTTTAACTTTTAAAAATCTAGAACATTCTGTCAACGTTACTGGAGTTACCGGCATGCCACAAAACACAGCCCAGTGGGACTTTGTAGGGCACAAGGGTCACAAGCCTGTTGCCGAGAAAGGAAACAAGTCTCTGACAGCTCGACAGAGTGATGTAGGTTACATCTCCTTTCAGCAGGTGGCCCTCTCCATGTACCCCTGTAAGATGCTTTGTGAGCGAGTGAAGTCTCCCTTCCTGCCGCCGTGGGAGAAATCAGACTCTTACATGCCTGAGACAGCACGACTAGGGTGCACCCCCTCCAGCTGTCCCTTTTTGCTTGGCCTCTTACACAAAGGATCACAAACCACCGTGCTTCAGACTCCATTCAGCAGAAATTATTCCAGAGCGTGTCCAATCAGACCTTACCGCGAGTCCTGCATGCGTTAGGACAGAGGCAAAAACAGCACATTGACTCTTAACACGACACTTGGACTTTTTTTTTTTTTTTTTTCAGTTAAAATCCAGAGGTTGTGTCTTTGTTATGTAAAACCACCGTGAGGTTATCCTAAAAACCTGCCCACGCCTCGCTGATAAGGTTCTCAAGGCGCTTTGTTAAATGAACACAATAGGTGGGACGTGCCGTGCCTTAAGTGACATTGAAATCCACGTCAAAAGAGTAATTCCTGGGCTTGGCAGCCTGTGGTTCCTTCTGAGCAGTGCTGTACAGCACCCAGCAGGGAATGACTTCGTTCCCTGAGAGACACTTGGCAGTATCTGGAGGCATTTTGGTTGTCACAGCTGGGGAGGAAAGGAATCTTAACTGGAATCTAAATATTCTCAGTGCCCAGGACACGCCCGCCCCCCCTCCCCCCAAGAAGAAACCAGCTCCATAGCGCTGAGGTCTAGAAGCCCTGACTCAGAGGGGAGGGGAGAGTAGCTGACCGAACACCGTTCTGCCGTATAACGTTCTGTAACTATTCTAGGTGTCCATTTGCGCAACCTGCATACTTACAAAGCCACAGAAATGAAGTGCCGTTACTGTACCGCCGTCTTCCACGAACGCTACGCCCTCGTTCAGCACCAGAAAACCCATAAAAATGAGAAAAGGTTCAAGTGTGAATACTGCTCTTACGCCTGCAAGCAGGTACTCGGTTTCAGCCAGTTTGGGGAGGCGGTGGGAGGCAGCGGTGTACGGAGGGAGGGAGGGTTGGGGTTCCCCATCGCTTTGAAAATCGTGAAAAAAAAAAAGATCATGCTTTGGTGAGAGAGACGGTTCAGAATAACCCGAAAGCAGCCGTGAGCCAATACTTGAAAGCAGCACTTCGTCAAAGTGTGGTTTTACAGACCCCTGGAGGTCCCTGCAGCCAGTCGGGGCTGTAAGATCAAAGTTCTTGTCATTAGATGACTGATTCATGCCGATACATTATTTGCCCTTTTTACCGTGTTGACATCGGCTGTGAAGGCGCCACAGCAGCAGAGGTGACTGAGAACAAGCAGAGCAGTCACCCCAGGCTGGTCTGGCATCTGCTGTGTTCTTCACCTTCATGCACAGCCGCAAAAGTGAAGGGTGGTTTTACTTAAGAATGTCCTTGATAGAGAGTAACAGTTCTCAACTTCATTCAGTCTTGACCCAGGATACTCATCTTTTGTTTTCTTTTTTTGACGTTTATTTATTTTTGAGGGAGAGAGAGAGAGAGTGTGAGTGGGTGGGGGCAGAGAGAGAGGGAGACACAGAATCCAAAGCAGGCTCCAGGCTCCCAGCTGTCAGCACAGAGCCCAACACGGGGCTCGAACTCATGAACCTGAGATCATGACCTGAGCCAAAGTTGGATGCTTAACTGACTGAGCCACCCAGGTGCCCCTAGTTACTCATCTTTGAATAACAGAGCCCCTGTGCTGTCTTCCAGAGCACAGCACCTGTCTGCAGGGAATCACCTGTGGCATTGTGTGAGTTGCCAGCCCAACTAGCCACTTTTTTCGTGAACTGCTGTTTTCACTTGGGAGAACAAGGGATAGGCAAACTCTCCTGCTTCAGTCAATGGACATTTGGCAACATGCAGTGCCTTTTTCTTGAAAGTAAATGAAGTGAGGGGCACCTGGGTGGCTCAGTCAGTTGAGCATCCGACTGCGGCTCAGGTCATGATCTCACCGTCTGTGAGTTCGAGCCCCGCGTCGGGCTCTGTGCTGACAGCTCGGAGCCTGGAGCCTGCTTCGGATTCTGTGTCTCCCTCTTTCTCTGCCCCTCCCCCGCTCATGCTCTGTCCCTCTCTCTCTGTCAAAAATAAATAAACATTAAAAAAAAAAAAGTAAATGAAGTGAGTCCATCACTTCAAAGAAAATGTGGTTGCCAGAGATACAATCTCATCTGTCAGGAGGAAATTACAATTAGAAATCTGTACATCCACCACCATGAGCTTGACAAGCTTTCTGACACTTGAAGACTTCTCTAATGAGATGGGAGTGATTTTAAGAAAGCATTTTTTTATGTAGTGGAGTGAAGTGTGACAACATGTAGAAGCCGTCCATAACTCGGTAAACTGATAGTTTTCCAAATGACCAGTCTGTTATTTTAGAAAATCATGCATAGATAGAAGATTCACTCAAAGTATAAGATCAATGAATTTTCATGTAATGGAGTACTAAAAGGACCCTCTTCCCCACATGTCTTTCCTCTCACCCTCCCTCCCAGGACAGCATTGCTCAGTCCCACGTTGAAAGTCAATGTCCCACCAAGGCCACGCTGTCCTGGAAGGGGGGTGGAGGCAAGACGTGTGGGAAGAGAGCACCCCCCAAGAGAAAACCTTGTAGAAATATAGTTTGGTTATGAACAGTAACACAGAAGTGGGTGTGTGTTTCCTCTGCATGGTCATAGCATTTTTTTTTAATTTTTTTTTTTATTTTTAACGTTTAGTTATTTTTGAGACAGAGAGAGACAGAGCATGAACAGAGGAGGGGCAGAGAGAGAGGGAGACATAGAATCTGAAACGGGCTCCAGGCTCTGAGCTGTCAGCACAGAGCCCGACACGGGGCTCGAACTCACGGACTGTGAGATCATGACCTGAGCCGAAGTCGGTCGCCCAACCGACTGAGCCACCCAGGCGCCCCGGTCATAGCATTTTAAATAAAACAAATAAAATGGGTACTTTCGCTTGACTTTATATATATTTTTGTCATGCTTTTCCAAAATTTTTTAAAGCTTATTTATTTGAGAGAGAGAGAGAGAAAGAGAGAGAACAGGGGAGGGGCAGAGAGAGAGGGAGAGAGAGAATCCCAAGCAGGCTCCACACTAAGTGCGGAGCCTGACACGGGGCTTGAACTCACGAACGGTGTCATCATGACCTGAGCGGAAACCAAGAGTCAGATGCTTAACCGACTGAGCCATCCAGGTGCCCCGGCTTCTCCAGGTTATTTACTTGGGTCAATCTTAGTTAAAATTCCTAATTATTTCTTTGCTAAGAACAGTTATTATCAGCTTTATGCTTTTAAATGGATATTAAGGTTTGTCCTAATATTTATCAGGAAGGCAAGAGGCGTAATGTACTTCCAACGCCAAATAGCCATGGAATTGAAACTCTGATGTTAGATTTTAAGTTTGCAGGTTCCTTCTGCCCTTTGTAAACTCGGGTCATTGCAGATAGTTCTAGAAGAAGGGCTGCTAGTCCATGAGGCCTCTTGGAGGGACAAATGATTATCGTTTCCCTCCCGAAGGAATGTTCTACCACATTCCCTGAGGGGCTGTGGGACCCGCGAGGCCCTCATCAGTGGCCTGATGGTGGACAAGTTTGTTTCCTAGATAGCCAGACCGTGCTGCCTGCATCACTAACCACATTGACATTGTGTGTGCCATCATTTTTCGTGATCACGCATTCATCCTTAGGGAGGGAAAAAGGTGTATAAGAAATAACATCAAGGTGGGCGCCTGGGTGGCGCAGTCGGTTGAGCGTCCGACTTCAGCCAGGTCGCGATCTCGCGGTCCGTGAGTTCGAGCCCCGCGTCGGGCTCTGGGCTGATGGCTCAGAGCCTGGAGCCTGTTTCCGATTCTGTGTCTCCCTCTCTCTCTGCCCCTCGCCCGTTCATGCTCTGTCTCTCTCTGTCCCAAAAATAAATTAAAAAACATTGAAAAAAAGATTAAAAAAAAAAAAAAAAAAATAACCTCCAAGGACTAAAAACAAAATCCCTGTAAATATTAAACCTGTCATTTCCCTCCCCTTCTCTCCTAGGAACGCCATATGACCGTTCACATTCGTACCCACACCGGAGAGAAACCATTTACCTGCGTCTCGTGCAATAAATGTTTCCGACAGAAGCAACTTCTAAATGTGCACTTCAGGAAATACCATGATGCAGACTTCATCCCGACTGTTTACCAATGCCCCAAGTGTAGCAAAAGCTTCTCCCGCTGGGTAAGCTCACTTAACTCCCAGTAAACCTTACTTCTTGCAAAGATTCCTCTGTTTCACAGGCTCTGACACACTCAGGGAGTTTAAACCCAATTATAGAAACTTGCCAGGGCTTAAGACGGCATCTGCCTGGCCTTGGGGAAGTGGTTATTCGTTTTTTTGGAGTCACAAAGCTCTTGCAAATCGTATGAAAGTGTGGTCTCCCCTTTCCATGAAAAAAGACGGCTCTACAAACAAAACCTTGCAAATGGTTTTAGAGAATTCTCATACTCCCTGGAGTCCACAAGAACCACTGCTCTTAAATGTAACATTTTAACATTGTTCCTGTGAATTAGATTTAGGCTGTTTCCCAGAGAGAATGCAATTTTCGAAATGTCTCAGAGATGTTCTTCAAATAGTATTGTTGGTACTCTGCTAAGAAATGCATTTACTCTTCGACATTATTCTCTTTAGGTGCTGTGTGAGTGATCTGTTGCCATATGACAAATCGTTTCGAAACTTAGTGGCTTAAAACAACATTTATTTCCTCACACTTTCAGTGGGTCAGGAATTTGGGAGGGGCTCGGCTGGGTGGGTCTGCTTCATCGTCTCTCAGGAGGTTACGGTCAGGATGTCATCAGGATGTCCACTCCCAAGATGGCGCCCTCCCATGGCTGTTGGCAAGAGTCTTCAGTTCCTCACCACGTGGAACATTCCATTGGGCTGCTCAAGGGGTCTCATGACCCAGAGTAAGCGAGAGGGAGCAAGGGGGAGGCCGCTGTGACTTTTGTCACCTACTTTTTAAAGTGACCCATTACCTCTGTTCATTAGAGATGAATCACTAGGGGTGCCCTGGTGTCTCAGTCGGTTAAGCGACCGACGGGCTCAGGTCACGATCTCGTGGTTCGCGGTTCGGGAGTTCGAGCCCCGCAGCGGGCTCTGCACTGATGGTGTGGAGTCTGGTTGGGATTTTCTCTGTCTCTCTCTTTCTGCCCCTCCCCAGCTTATGCATGCTCTCGATCTCTCTCTTTCTCTCAAAATAAAGTAATAAACATTAAAAACTTTAAAAAAGAAGCAAATCACTAGGTCCAGCCCACACCCAAGAGGTGGGGGATGAAGTTCCCTTTGAAAGAAAGAGTGTCAGAGAATTCGTGGACATTGAAAAAAATACCACAGATGATGAGCCAGATCTCTAGACAGTGTATATGCTCCAGGCTCACTTCATAAAAGTTCTGAATTATCTGTAGTTGACTATTTTTGTGGGGAAAGCTTTATACCTTTTCTCTTTGTGCTTTTCTGGGTAGTGTAGTGGGGTAATTCCAGAGTGTTAATACTCTTAGTTCAAAATTTCAAATACAAGTTGTGACAATAGCCCAAAAACAGCATTCATACAGACTTAGCATTGTCAAGGGTCAACACTGGAAAGATTCTGCCTTTTGGTGGGAAGAATAAGAAAACAGAGAAGGGGTTGAGTCGGCCTCATAGAATTCCTCAGAGCAAACAGTCAGAAGTCTTGAAAGTTTTTCTTGCATTCAAGAGAGCGCATGGGGACTTGGATCTAGAATACAGACATCCCTCGGAGATATTGCAGATTGAGATATTGAGATACTGCAGTAAAGCAAACGTCACAATAAAGTGAGTCAAGAGAATGGTTTGGTTTCCCGGGGCATACGAAAGCTACGATGATGCTGTGCTGTAGTCCATTAAGTGTCCAATAACAACACGCCTTAAAAAAAAGCATATATTGTAATTTGAAAATACTTCACTGCTAACAAATGCTAACCACCAGAGCTTTCGGCAAATTGTGATAGCTGATCACTGATCACCGTAACAAATATAATAATAACAAAAAAAGCTTGAAATATTGTAAGAATTGGCGCCCTCCTCCGTTGCTGGTGGGATTTGAAATAGGTGAGGCCGTGGGGGCCCCTGGGGGCCTCAGTCGGTGGAGCGTCCGACTTCGGCTCAGGTCACGATCTCGTGGTCCGTGAGTTTGAGCCCCGTGTCGGGCTCTGTGGTGACAGCTCCGAGCCTGGAGCCTGCTTTGCATTCTGTGTCTCCCTCTCTCTGCCCCTTGCCCGCTCATGCTCTGTCTCACTCTATCTCTCAAAGATGAACAAACGTTAAAAAATTTAAAAAAATAATAATAAAGCTAGAGTAATCACAGCAGGGTGTGTTAGTGAAAGAACAGACACATGGATGGAGCAGAGAGCCAGACAGACCCTGTGAACACAGTCTGCCGATCTCTGACCAAGGAGCAAAGGTGATGCAATGGACAAAATACCACCTTTTCAGCCAACGTACTAGAGGAACTTGAATCCACATGGAAAAAAAACAAAAACAAAAACAAAAACAAAACAAAAAACCCTAGACCAAGACCTTATGCCTTTCGCAAAAATTAATTCAAAATGGTTAACAGACCAGGGCGCCAGGGCAGCTCAGCCAGTTAAGCATCCGACTCTTGGCTTCAGCTCAAGTCATGATCTCGCGGTTTGTGAGTTTGAGCCCCGCGTCGGGCTCTGTGCTGACAGCTCGGAACCTGGAGCCTGCTTCGGATTCTGTGTCTCCTCCTCTCTCTGCTCCACTCATGCTCTGTCTCTCTCTGTCTCTCAGTAATAAAAACAGTTAAAAAATTAAAAATAAAATAAACTGAACAATTTCTGATTGGAGAAGACACGCCACAGACAGGGAGAAAATATATGCCAAAGTCACCTCTGATGAAGGACTGTCGTCCAGAATACACAAAGAGCTCTTAAAACTTAAAATCCTAAGGAAACAGACACCCCGGTTAATAAATGGGCCGAGGACGTTGTTACATACAGACCCCTCACCCGAGAAGACGCACCGGTGGCAGATAAGCCCGTGCAAAGATGCTCCGCGTCGTACGTCATCAGGGAAATGTAGTTAGGACGAGACCCCACCACGTACCTATCAAAATGGCCCAAATCAGGAACCCTGACGACCCCAGATGTCGGCGAGGATGTGAACAGCACAGGCTCTCATTCGTTGCTCGTGGGAATGCGACGTGGCACGGCCTCTTGGGAAGAGTTTGATGGTTTCTTACAAAACTAAACGTAGTCTTACCATACGGTCCAGCACTCACACTCCTGTTCACCCGAAGGAGTAGAAAACGTAAATCCACACAGAAACCCACACGTGGGTGTTCGTAGCAGCTTTATTCCTAACTGGCAAAAGTCGGAAGCAGCCAAGACGCCTTCCAGTAGGTGATGGATAAGTGAACTGTGGTCCATCCAGACGATGGAGTGTTATCCAGAAGAAACGAGCCATCAAGCCATGCAGCCATGAAGACAGGGAGGAACCTTAAGCGCGTATTACTAAGTGAACGAAGCCAATCTGGAAAGGGTATGCGCTCTGATTCCAATGATGCGACGTTCTGGAAAAAGCAGAACTGTGGAGACCGTAAAAAGATCGTGGTTTCCAGGGGTGGGGGAGCAGGGATGAACAGATGGAGCACGGAGGGTTTTTTAAGGCAGTGAAACCAACCTGTGTGATACTAGAACAGTAGATGCTTGCCATTATACGTTTGTCCAAATGCACAGAATGAACAACACCAAGAAGGAACCCTCGTGTAAACCGTGGACTTTGGGCGATTATGACGTGTCTAAGGAAGTTCATCAGGTTGTAACAAATGTACCCCCGGTTCTGGTGGGGGTGCTGATAATGGGGGGGGGGGGGAGGCTGTGCGGGTGGGGGCAGGGGTATAAGGGAAATCTCTTGACCTCCCTCCCAGACGCGCCATGAACCTAAATCTACTTTAAAATATGAAGTCTTTAAAAATAAATAAGCGCCTCTCGGGATATTTGAATCCAATTTAATTTCTAGAAAGTAAATCACTCGCAAACTTCCATTCTTTAACACGCAACAGGCAAGTGTATCTCCGTGCCTGAATGTCATAGGGCAAGGCCCCCTGCCTCCCCAGTAAAGGACCCGTGCCCTGGATTCCAAATGCTCGCTCCCTCCTCTCTTGAGAAACATTCCTCTGACACGTGTCTGTCCTATCGCTCTGCCCTCTGAGTCGCAACTAACCTAAACGTCATATCGGTTTACTTAAAATCTTAGCCCATTTACCGTTTAAAGGCTAGACGTGTTTTTGCTTATTAATCCAAAACCGACGCCCGGAGTCGTTAGCCAGGAGCCTCATGAATTTGAAGGAAGGTGGTGTGTGTGTGCACGTGTATGTGTGTGCTTGGCTGGGGAAGGGGCCATTGTTGTCGTCATAGTCTCGAATCTGTGGCCCCGAAGGCTTAGTTTGTGCACAGTCATCATATAAACCCAGGGACTGGACAGCGTTCTTCTGTATGGGGCCGGTAGTAATATTTTCAGCTTCGCAGACCATTTTCTGGCCCAACTGCTCAAGTCTGTCGGAGCCCCCAAAACAGCTATAGACGGACAATTCATGAATGAATAGACACGGCAGTCTTCCAGAAGACTTGCTTTACAAAATCCAGTTGGCCAGCTGGATTGAACCCTTGGGTCATTGTCTTCCCACCCGGAATGGAACCGGTTTAAATGACCTGTAACATCCACCTTCTCCTTACACGTGAATCCTTCCCCCTTTGCCCATAAACCAGGACGGTCCAGCGGAGCACCCACTGAAGCTGCAGTGGAAATTAGGGGGGAGGTTTTATGTAATCAGAAAATCGAATGGCACGTCAGCAGTATCTTACTTTAGCATATGAACTTTCCAAACGATGAAAAATTTCTAGCTTAATTTAAACCATCGTAAGCGTTCGCGTGTAAGAATACATCGGTGAATAGTCTTGACCGAGAAATCTCTGACTTCCCTTTTAATTCTGAGTGTTGTATATACAGTCAGTTACCCCTTGTGGGGGCAAGTGACCGAGTGACTCCGTCGGTTAAGTGTTCGATTCTCGATTTCGGCTCAGGTCGTGATCTTGCAGTTTGTGAGATCGAACCCCAAGTCAGGCTGTGTGCTCAGAGCACACACTGGGATTCTCTCTCTCTCTCCCTCTCTGCTCCTCCCCTGCTTGGGCACTCCCTCCTCTTTCAAAATAAACAAACATTAAAAAAATAACCCCACGCATGTTAGATCAGGAGAGGAGCTGGCAGGCCAGTAAAATATACATGGTATGTTACATATTTTCTTAAAATTGACAATCTATTGAATTTCTGGCTCAACATCAAACCTCACTTTGGACAGGGGGCACATTCTAGAAGAACAGATTTTGTCTTCTCTTTGACCTCTATGATAAAAAAAATTTGGCTAGACCTAAACACAACAGAGGGGTCCCCTTTTATTTTATTAAAAAAATTTTTTTCACGTTTATTTATTTTTGAGAGAGAGATAGAGCGTGAGCAGGGGAGGGGCAGAGAGAGAGGGAGACCCAGAATCCAAAGCGGGCTCCAGGCTCTGAGCTGTCAGCACAGAGCCCGACACGGGGCTCGAACTCAGGAACTGCGAGATCCTGACCTGAGACGAAGTCGGACGCTCAACTGACTGAGCCACCCGGGGGCCCCTAAAAGCCACCTTTTATTGTGCAAGACTCTACCAGGTACATGTTGCCCCATTTTCCCGTACCCGGGTCTCTAACTGCGGAATTTGAAGTGACATTCCGTGGGTGATGCTGACTCCCATGTGCTCTGTGTCGTCTCGCCGACAGAATAATATGCAGAGACATTCCGCGAAGTGTGACGCGGGCCAGGCAAAGCCGGCCGCCTCGGGCAAAGTGAGAAGAGTGAAGAGGAGAAAGCTGGCCGTCCTGAAAGAGGCAGGAAAGGAAGACGGTAACTCATTTTAAACAAACTGGGTTTAATTTGAGAGTGCTCTCCTTGTTATCGCTTCCCGGGTGCTGAGTGGTCCCGTGCAGGGGATGCACCCAGAAGCCCTAAGTGCCTGTCCCCGAAAGGTCCTGGTCCCAGCCCTGTTGCCGCTCCCTGCCACCTCGGGCAGGTGTTGAACTTCAGTTTGCCCCCTCTGGGCCATTGGCAAAGTGGAAGCGATTACTCGTGCAGGTGCAGAGAGCCCCAGGAGGCGTCCACGGCTCTCGTCACCGGGGTTCCTGGCAGACAGTCTAGCGAGGCTGAAGGCCGCCCTCCTCTGGAAGCCGGTGGCCTGTCACCTCTGCCTGGCGGAACTTCTGGGGCGCCGTGTGCGTGTCCTGGGGCTGCTACAGCAAATGGCCACGCGCTGAGTGTCTCAGAGCATCACAGGCCCACTGTCTCCTAGCTCTGGGGCCCGGAAGTCCCAACTCAAGGTGTCGGAAAAGGTTGTCTTCCTCCTGAAGGTTCTGGAGCGATGCCCTCCTGCCTCTCCCAGCTTCTGGTGGCTCCCGGGGTCTCCCGGCCCATGGCCACATCCCTCCAGTCTCTGCCTGTGTCTTTGCAGGGCTTTCCTCCCTCTTCTGTCTCTTGTTGTCTTTCTAAGGACACTTGTCACTGGATGTAGAGCCTGTCTGAAAGCTAGGATGATCTGTTCTTGAGACCCTTAACTTCTTTGTATCTTCAAAGACATAAGGTTACATTCACAGCTTTCAGGGGTTAGGATGTGGACGTATCTTTTTGGGGGGTCGCTCTGGGCATCACAGTCTTTATCGTCTGGCCTCCGGGAGCCGACGTGGGTTCCCAGGTTAGAGCAAAATGGGTCTGAGTCCAGCCTGCCCTCTAAGATGTTCTGCCCCACGAGGGGACAGACCTAGTGCTCCGTGCAGGCGTTCCGTTTACGTCCTCTATTCCCTTCATGAGGATCCTAGAACTGGAGAGATCCTAGACTGAGACCGCACGACCTTCCCGCAAAAACAAACGGAAAATGTTTGCGTGGCCTCCTTCTTCTAAAATCCCCTATATTTTGATCCCAGCCCCAATCCTTGAGCAGCGAATGTTCCCGCAGATGGCAGTCAGCCCTTTCCTTACCTCAGAGTCACCTGGTACAATAAGGGAATGGCCCGGCCGAATTTGAATTCCGGGTAAACAGTGAATACGCGTTTAGCGTGAGTATATCCCATGCGCTGTTTGAGATATACTTGTACTAAACAGTTACGCATGGTGCTTGGAACGTGGACAGCCGGGCTGGAGTTCTCCTGACCTGGGCTCTACAACCTGCTCAGGCCTTCCTCAGTGTTCCTGAGTCTTCCTACCGGGGGCCGGAGCTCCAGCCCTCCTCCACCAGCTCCCGGCTTCTCCAGCAGCAGGGGCAGGTCAGCCCGCGGTGCTTGGGGGGTGACCCAGAAGAGAAGTGACGGTCACAGCATGGATATAAAACTGACAGTGTCGTGAATACCACCTTCCGTGGTTTCCCCGAGGAGCGCCACCGCCCCTCCTGTCCCAGGTGTGAGGCCCCGCGGTGACCCTGTCCCCGCTCCCGACTCCACACCTCCCCTCCCTCTCCTGCTGGAGAAGTTCCTCCTGCCTGCCTGCCTGCCAGCCTGGAACACACGCGAGAGGCCTAAAGAGAAACGAACCCCCGCACGACGCCCACCCCTCCTGGTCCACAGAACTCCCATCATGTTCACCACGGACTCGCCCCCGCCCCTCCCGGGTCCCTCCATCTGGCTCCGGCCCCAGCACACCACTGGGGTCCCCAGGGGCTCCCTGTGACCACGTCCCGCTGGCTTCTCCCTGCTGTAGCCATAGGGCCACCGACTGTCCCCCTCTTGACCCTCTCCCCTCTTGCCTGCTCAACAGGCATCCATCCTTCTGGAATTTTCTCTGGCTCCTCCAGCCACCTCACCTTCTCCTCTTCTCCTCCCCACAGTTTTTCTCGCCTTCGGTCCACCTCGATACCACGTCCACACCTGCATACATGACTCTCACCCTCTCCCGTGGCAGGTCACTGGTGGTCTGGGACTGCAGCCCCCATGTAGCCTCCAGAGGCTGGGAGCGAATGTCCCGCTGCCTCGTGAGCGTCTCCCCCCTGCTGTCTCAAATCCAGTTCGCCTAAAACTGAAGTCTTGACACCCCGCCGCTGCCCCCGCCCCCCCCCTCAGCCTCATTCTCTCCTGCAGGCCTGATCCACGCTAGTGTTGGAAGCCAGGGCACCCAGGCGGCTGCCTCCCCTGCTGCTGTGGACCGGGGCCACCTGTCTCCCCAGGTCCGGGACCTTGTCTCAGCACCTGTCCCCCATCCTCGCTGCCCACCACCTGAACCCCTTCTCTGTGCACCAGCGCTCTGAAGACGGGGCCTTGGGTGTGGCCAGCCGCTCCCCGCCCTCCCAGGCAGCCAGCCATACTGGTCCCCCCACCCCAGCCAGGCCAGACTCACCCTCTCCTTTGCCCGGCATTCCTGGTAACTCGTCCACGGACCCCCAAGATCTCAGCTCTGACCCTTGAGCAGGTCGCCCTGCCTCACGTACACCCCGGGCCCGGGCCTCTGCTTTGCACACCCCCACCTGGTGCTCAGCGTCACATTTATCTGCTTCTTCAGTGCCCGCTCCCACCCGCACTGAGCTCCCCTCCAAGGCGGGCCTGGCGGGTTCATCCATTCCCACTTACGATCGAAAAATGAGCACAGCCCTTTACGGGACAAGACAAGTAGGTGACACCCAGCTCAGATCTTCCAACCACCGTATAGAGATGCAGAGGCCAGGCTGCTGGGATCCTTGCTCCCGCTGGGACGGACCCTAAAGCGTCCATACACAGGTATGACTTCTCGGTTAATTAGGCACCCACTGGCTCCCGCTTCATACCTAAATGCAGTATTTTCTTTTCATTATCTAGTAAACCAAGTCCTTAAAAAAAACCTTTGACCAAATTTCATCCGAATAAGCCTTCCCTAGAAGATCAAATGATTGGGGACGGACTAAAGGTTTTTGAAAATGTCGCCCGTGGTCCGTGACCTGTTTGCAGTGGGGCAGAGTTAGAGCGTCACAGCCTCCGGGCTGGTCACAAGCCCCCGTGGTTGGGTGACTGCCCCTGCCAGCACTGACCCCGAGCCTCCTGGACACTGGCCGGGAAATAAACGAAGAGTGAAGTCACAGGGGTGAAAAGCGGGTCCACATCTCTGCCCCCTCCCGCTGGGGCTCGGGCTGGTGTTTGAACAGGAGCACCACTTGGAGCAGGTCACCTGGGCACCAGGGGCACCTGGGAATGCTGCCTGCCCGGCACGCTCACCCTCCAGAAGGACGGAAACAGGAAGGCCCTCCCGGGTTTACTCTGACGCGCGGCGCGTACGAAAACATTTCTCGTACTTTTTTTAATGTTTATTTTTAAGAGAGAGAGAGAGAGAGGGAGCACGAGCAGGGGGAGGGGCAGAGACAGAGGGAGACCCAGAATCCGAAGCAGGTTCCAGGCTCCGAGCCGTCAGCACAGAGCCCGACGCGGGGCTCGAACTCACGAGCCGTGAGATCAGGACCTGAGCCAAAGTCGGAGGCTTAACCGACGGAGCCCCCCAGGCGCCCCTCATATTGTGGATGGTCAGCTGTTGGACCCCAAGCAAAGCGTGAATTGAAACGAGTAACCCAGCTTAATGTTAGCAAAAACTACGACTTTGTTTGCACATCAAAGGTTTCGCACCTGTATTATCCAGAGAACGGTCTGGCGTCTACTCCGCTGGGCTGGTGGGTCAGCTGTAGGCCACCTGGCTGTTCAGGGTAGGTCTTTGCAAGTGGCAGTTCCTTTGCGTTTGTAAGAACTCCGTCTTCGTGCTCTCCCCACACTCCCCACCCCCCCCCTAAAAAAACCACAAGCAAACACATCTTCAAATGACCTTGAACCGACAGGAGGTAAAGCTTCGGTAGGTGTGGGCTCTTTGCCGCTCCGTGGGTGTTCTTGGGAAGTAATTTGGGAAATAGGGAGAGGGATGAAAATACTCGGATTTACAGCGATCTTCTATTTTTAAGCGCCCAGGGTTGGGCTGGCTATAAGCCGCAGGAGGGTGGGCGGGCTGGTTGTGGATCTGGACGAGGCTCACAGGGTGCACCCAGCCGACTCTGCCCGAGTTCCCTGGCGGTAAGGACGAGTGCCCTGAAAGCTGCTGGCTGTCTTCCTTTCGGTGGTGTCATTCCACAGGCACAGAGGCGAGACAGGTGAGGGGCTCAGCCACCATCTGGGTCTGTAGGATCTGCCCTCAACCTACAGCAGTGGCTATCAGCGGGGGCTCTTCTGCTTCCCAGCAGACGTATGGCCGTGCCCGGAAACGTGTCCGGTTGTCCCAAGTGAGGAGGAGCGTTCTGGCCTCCAGAGGGTAGAGGCCAGGTGTGCCCCCAAACACCACAATTGGTCCAGCCCTAAAAGCATAGAGGGCTGAGGTTCAGAAACCCCTGACTTCACGCCCATAGGTCTCATCAGATTACTTGTTCTGTCTTATAAATGGAAAGAATCATTTTCTAAAATGTTTGCTGCTATGTTACAAATCAAAGGACTGTTTCCAAAATGTAAATGCACTGATTTTTTGGACTTTATTTTAAATTTGCCAAAACTCTCCCTCCCCCCGCCCCCACCCCCAGCCCCAAAAGACACCACTAAGGAGGTCTCTGCTGTGAGCGTGAAGCAGTACCCGGGAGAGACGGTTCCAGTCTGTTACGGAGGCGTCGCGGTCGGAAACCAGGGCCTGGACGAAGACCTGAGCTGTGAAATGATCCTCCAAATGATGGACAAGTGACAGAGCTTCCCAGTTCGCGTTCGTAGCAGTCCATTCTCCAACAAGTTCGAATTTTGCGGCATGTTCTTTGAAACAAGTTCATGACGATGGACGGTCTCGGTCTTTCCCAAGTGTGAGGTTAGTGCCCAGAATTATTTGCCTATTTTTTTGGACTGGATATTTAAACACAAAAAACACTGCAGGTGTTTCATAAAAGGCCCAAATCTTGAATTGGAGGATAAAACCTCAAAGCTATGAATTCACTCACTTGATCCTGCCGAGGTGGCCTGCAATGAAGGGGCCATGATTTGGGGCCGTAACAGTTATGCAGTTGTAGCACTAAGACTATTTAGTGCTTCAGCAAACAGCCAAAGCTGGGTACTTTCACCATTACATTTCTTTTTTTTTTTTTTTTTTTGAGTTTTAATTAATTTTTGAGAGAGAGAGAGAGAGGGAGACACAGAATCCAAAGCAGGCTCCAGGTTCCGAGCTACAGAGCTCGAACCCACGAACCGCGAGATCATGACCTGGGCTGAAGTCTGACGCTTAACTGACTGCGCCACCCAGGCTCCCCTCACCGTTATAGTCCTGACATGAGTTTTTAAACCTAAACAACTAGTTTGATACCGGTTTTTAAAATACAAATGAATTTTCCATAAAATTTAAAGGCACCGTAATACGTTCAATGCGTTCTCAATTCAACGAGAGAGATCGTAATGTTTTAAAAATAACCGAGTGGAAAATGACGATGCCTAATTATTTTAGTTTGGTGACTGAGCAAGGTACAGTTTGAGAGTTTGTATTCTTCCTAAATTATGTTTTTTGGCGGGCGTGAAGTTTTCCCTTTGGACACTCACGGTCACTGCCCAGCAGGTCAGTTCGTCTCTCTTTTGTTTCGCTGAAACTACTTCGTTTATAGTTTTTAAGTAATTAGCGGAGAGAGAAGAAAACGTGATGAAATGTGTACCTGTAAAGAATTTATACTCTGTGATGCCCTGTAACGGGCGGGGGAGTGTTTCTCTTTCGCCAGTTGACGAGGCTTTTCGCAATGCCAAGCATTAAGCGAAATGCCTCGTTAGAACCTAAAAGTAACTAATACCCACCTTCATAGAGATATATTTTTCATACTTTTCTTCTTAGCTCAGCAGCTGCTTTTGCTCTGAACTTCCCCCCTTAGTTTAACTTCATTGATACGGGTCCCAAATTCCAGTTTCTTGGCTTGATTGACATAGAATGGGCAAATAAAATTGGGAGATATTAAAAATGTGCATCATGATGATTTGATACGTGGGTACATTGTGGAAGCGACGCCTCCCATCGGTGAACTAAATTCAAATTCTTAAGGTGCTGGTCTGCTCTCCTAAGCCCAGAGCCCGGTGTCCTGGGAACGTAGAAGCCCTTTCCAGCCGGATGGGCATTCTTTTCATGGTAGCACAATAGTTGAGTTCACATAGTAAGACTTGAACCCTATGGTCTCTTGCATGCCGTCATTGTGACTATTTGACCTCTTGTAACACTTCCTTCCTCTTTGTTGTTTCAAGATGTTTTGCATAACTCAATAAAATGAAATGACTCAAAATGGCTCTCTTTGTTTTACGTGAATGGCGGTTCTTAAAAACGTGGATGTGGAGAAACTGGAACCTTGGGCGCTGTTTGGTGGGAACGTAAACTGGTGCAGCCACTATGGAAAATAGTATGGAGGTTCCTCAACAAATTAAAAATAGAATTAGCAGGGGCGCCCGGGGGGCTCGGTCGGTTGAGCATCCGACTCTTGGTTTTGGCTCAGGTCACGATCTCACGGGTCCACGGGATCAAGCCCCGTCTCAGGCTCTGCGCTAAGAGCGTGGAGGCTGCTTGGGATTCTCTCTCTCCCCGCCTCTCTCTCTGCCCTTCCCATGCATGCTCTCTCTCTCAAAATAAATAAGTGGTGAAAAAATCGTTACGAGAGTGAATTCTTATTGTCTGTATTTTACTACAATTAAGTTTTTTTGTTCTTTAAGAAGAACACAAGAAACGTGTTTGAAAGTACAAGACCGATACGTAGCTAAACCCCACCAACGACTCTTCAGCCATCTTTTGTAGGTAATTTGCAGGATATCGCATGCATCACACCTCTCTCAGAATAAAAATAAATAAACCTTAAAAAAATAGAATCACCTTATGAGCCAGTACCTTGGTTACATACCCCTAAAGAATTGAAAGCAGGGTCTCAAAGAGATATTTGTATGCCCACGTTCACAGCGCCATCATTCACAATAGCCCAAAGGTGGAAACAAGCTAAATGTCCATCAGTGGATGAATGGATCAATAAAATGTGCTCTATCCATACGGTGGAATATAATTCTGCCCCAAAAAGGAAGGAAATTCTAACACAGGCTACAACACGGACGAACCTTGAGGCTACTATGCTCTGTGAGGTCAGCCAGGCACGAGCAAATACCCTTGTGTGTGGGACTGAGAGTCGCCCAGTTCATAGAGACAGAAAGCGGAAGGGTGGCGACCAGGGATTGGGGGTAGGGAATGGGGAGTTAGTGTTTAGTGGGGTAGGGTTTCACTTTTGCAAGACGATAATCCAAGCTCTGGAGGTTGGTTGCACCACAGCATGAACGTTCTCAACACTACTGAGCTGTACCCTTAAAAATGGTGTGCAGGGGGCGCCTGGGTGGCTCAGTCGGTTAAGCGTCCGACTCTTGATTTCGGCTCAGGTCTCCATCTCCCAGTTCGTGGGTTCGAGCCCCGCGTCGGGCTCTGCGCTGACGGTCTGGAGCCTGCTTGGGATTCTCTCTCTCTCCCCGCCCCCCACCCCGCCCCTCCCACGCATGCCCTCTCTCTCAAAATAAATAAATAAATGCTTCTAAAAAACGGTTAAGAGAGTAAATGTCTTCTTATGTATTTTACTACAATTAAATGTTTTTGCTTTAAAACGAGCACAAGAGGGGCACCTGGGTGGCTCAGTCGGTTGGACGACCAACCTCGGCTCAGGTCAGGATCTCACAGTCCGTGAGTTCAAGCCCCACGTCGGGTTCTTGCTGACAGCTCGGAGCCTGGAGCCAGCTTCGGATTCTGTGTGTCCCTCTCTCTCTGCCCCTCCCCCACTCGCACTCTGTCTCTCTCTCT